GAATGACGGGTGTAGGTAGGTTGGAAGATGTGGTGATAGATAAAATTTAAAAAGGAGTAAGACGTTTGGGCTTGATTTGATAAGGAGACGTAAGTAAGCATCATTATGGTTTTTAACTAATTTTCAAACGCTTTGCATACACATGTGAACCTTCAGACACACCATCTTGGCATTTGCCATTTTAAATGCCTGGCATATATTTTAGTCTGTCATTTACTCCTGTGCATGGCACTTTTTAAATAACTTTAATGAGGTAGACTTGAAATACAATAAACAGTACATATTTAAAGTATACAATATGGAAAATTTTGACCAATATGAACCTCTGAAAACATCATCGTAATCTAGAAATCTGGCCATTTCCCCAAGTTTGTCCAGGTCCTTTGGTAATGATGCACTCCCATCCATTTACATCCTCTCCCTGGGCAGCCACTGATCTGCTTTTTGTCACTGTAGTTTTTATTTTCTAGGATTTTAGATTAATAGACAAGTATTTATACTTTATTGGGGACTTCTTTCACTCAGCATAAATACATTAAGATTGATCCAGGTGGCTGCTTTTATGAGTCAGCAATTCTCAGTGTTAATTTTCCATGGTATGAGTGTGCCACGATTAGTACAGTTTCCTGCTGACATTTGACTTGTTCCCCGTTTGGAGGAAAACCATTACTTCTACTTGTTTCCATTAACTAGGTCTCAGTCACATGGTCACTCCATGTTGCAAAAAGAAAGGGACCATGTTTGGGTTGAGTTTCCCAAAAATAATCTGAAGAGGATTTGGCGGGCAATTATCATGCTGTTAACACTAAGGAGCTGAGTTTACCTTGACCTATTTAATGGCCTAATTATGTCAACTTTCTCATGACATAAGGTGTGTAACTTGTGTGGCCGGTACCACATCAGAAAATAGGCTTTTGGATCAGTGGATAGAACATTGGCCTGTGGTCTCAGGGGTCCCAGGTTCGATTCTGGTCAAGGGTACCTTGGTTGTGGGCACATACCCAGTGGTGAGTGTGCAGGAGGCAGCTGATGGATGGTTCTCTTGCATCAATGTTTCTAACTCTCTACCCATCTCCCATCTTCTCTGTAAGAAATCAATAAAATATATTAAAAAAAGAAAGAAAATAGGCTTTGAAAGAGCATTTGAAACCATTTTGATGGGGGAAGTTCTTTTCTACCTTGGGAATCTACAAATGTTCCTGCCGCAAGGCAATTCCTTCCAGAAATGCGGCAAATTCACAATCTCAAAGTCCTTTTATACTGTCTTCTATCAAGCCTTGTTCCATGTTCATGATGTATTAAATAAATTCTGATTTAATTGACAATGTAAATCTCCTAGTTTATCATCCACCAGCAAGATTGTGCAGGAGAATGTACTCACGCACAAGGAATGTGAGTGTGGCCTAGAATGGCAGGTCCCCGGACTCTGTTACTTTATATACTAGTACATTATTTAAAGATGAGAGTCATATCAGCTTGAAAATAGACATGTTCTTGAAAGCCTTTTCCAGATTATTATTAAAACCTAAAACTTTCTTTAAGAAATGTAATGTCAAAATCACATAACCCTATATTGTAAAACAGCATATTTAATTAAAAATTAGCATAGCTGATGTTATAGTAAAATCATCACCATAAGGAATATTATATTAAGATGTACACATATTTTTAATTTTTATAAGTTAAATATCAACCCTTGGTTCACCCCACCTTCCCACCCTCCAATAATAGTAGCTAGCATTCAGAGGGGTGGCATCAGTACCATTTAATTCCGAAGTGGGGGAAAAAAAAGCAGAAAAGTGTTTGAATAGTAGGCTCAAAAATAGAGCTGTATGAATGCAAAATTGAAACAACAAAAAACCCTTTAAAATCTAAGTAGCTCCAAACACTTCTTAAGAAACTGAGATATTAATTTTTGCCTTGTTCATTTTGTACAATTCAATAAAGTACTTCAAGTAAATGGATAATATTAAAAATCATTCCTAGGATTTCTTTTAGTGGAATAAGAGCAATGATGAGTCTTTTCCATTAAGTTCCAGGGGTGCAGTGAATATATTAACTTGCTACTGCCACCACAGGGATCAGCATGAGGCTGTACCAATGAGAATGGAGTTATTTACCCACCCCATCCTAATTGGCCTCCTTAAGCCATTGCCAGCAGAACTGGCTTTCTGATTCTAATAAATAATGAAGATTCTCTATATTTCCTGCCAGTTGCCCTGCCTGGTCCTAGCCAGAACAAGCAAGTAGTGTGATTTAATCATGGTTGAGAATCCTTATACAGTACTATTCTGAAATTGACTCTGTAATCACAACTTATCCCTAACCACTCAGTGCAGTGAATATCAACATGTGAAAAATTATATTGAAATATTCATATAAAAGTGACTTTAACAAGTTATTCAAGGCTTCACATTTATTATATTTTATTTAGTGAATGGCAGATAAATATTTTCACCCAGATAGTATAAACAGTGTCCTTAAATATATACTGGTTTTTGCTACAAGTGGTAAAAGCTCCCTCTGTGTTCTTTCTCCAACTATCCACATATTTTATATATAGGAAAGCATCTCTGAAGATTTGGTTTGTGGCCTCAAGTACCTACAATGCTATGGCATTAAGGAAAACTTAGTGAGTTGGGGAGAAGCTCTTGACAATTAAATATTCAATCACTATTTTATAAATCTTCATTCTTTGGCTCATACATATGATAGTCTGCTTATACAATAAGTTCTCATGATATAGTAGAATACCTAGTTGCACAAATCTTTAGCTTCCTTCACTTTAAATAACTTCTCTCTCCTCTCTCCATCAGCAAACTATTTCCATACTAAAATATAGATTTTTGTCATCATCTGGAACTGTTTGAAATCTTGAACATTCTACCCATGGTTCTTACCACTCTGCTTGCTTATTTACCTTCTTCTCTAAATTTATTCTTCAAGATTCCCAATCTGTACACACCCCTCTTCTCCCAGTCACCATTCTCTGCTGATAACTTTATAATTCCAATATTCCCTTGATACTTTAGCAAATAATTTTGATTGCACAGTCATTAAAACATTTACTTTTCTCATCCCATTTATATTATCTAATATTTAAAGGTCAATGTTAAAATTAACCCAAATAGTCTCTCTCTTGCCTTGCTTCTTGTTGAAGAACTCACTTACTAAAGACTATTGAGCCTGTTGTAAGTGTCCTCACTTGAAAAGAAAATTATACCTGCAATAGGATACCTTTACACATCTACTGAAATGGCTAAGATTTGAAAAAGACACAACACAAAGAGTTGGCGAGGAAATGGAGCATACATTGCAGGTGGTAATGTGAATACCGTATATGTAATCATTTTTGAGAACTATTTGGCAGTCTCTTAACAAGCTGAATGTTCACCTACATTATGACCCAGCAATTTTACTTCTAACTATTTACTTAAGAAACATTAAAATATATGAGAATAAGACTTGCATACAAAAGTTCACAGCAACTTTATTCACAAATGTCAAAAGTTAGAAATAATTCAACAAGATAATGAAAAAACAAACTATGCTATGACAAAATAATGAAGTTCAACCCTGTACTAGAGAGTAAAAATGACATGCAAGCATGGATAATAAACTGAAGAAGCCAGATATAAAAGAATATACATACCATATAATTTCATCCATATAATGTTCTAGAACACATGTGTCAAACACAAGGCCCGTGGGCCAAATCCGTCCCTCCAGGCATTGCAATGTGGCCCCCACCATGCTGTCATCACTGCACTTCGCTGCGTTTCCATCACAATGACAGTTTATGACTGTTCAGTAAACCATTCGGCCCGCGATTTAGGCTGGATTTTAGATTTTGGCCCCTTCTCTGATTGAGTTCGACACCCCTATTCTAGAACATAGTAAACTAAATTATTGTAAAACTTACTATAATGATGTTTCCTCTGGGGGCAGAGGAAAGCATAAGAGGAAAATTTTGAGGGTGATAGAAATTTCTGTAACTTGATTGGGATATTGTCACATGAGAGATGCATTTGTCAAAATTCAGCAAACTGTATATTTAAGGTCTGTGTAATTCATGATATGTTTTTTAATAAAACATTTTAATTATATATTTTTAAAATACCCCTACCTTTCTCCATGTTTAATCCATTTTCAAATACTTCCTATTTGTCCAAATCTCTCTGCTCCTTCAATTTTGCCCATCTATACCATCCTTGCAATCATCTTTCTGCTCTGTCTATAGATAAACATAAATATCTTTTTTTAGAACTATTTTTCTTGACCCTGCCATCTTCAGAAAATAAATTTATATTAACATTTTTGCAAACTTTTTGAAATAACAATATCAATTTCCTTTACTTTCAACCTTCTAATCACACTATAGACTATTGAAATCTGGGTATTGCTCCCATCAGTCTTTTAGTTTATCCTCAATAATTTTATTTATACATTTACAATCTCATTCTTTTGGCCCTTATGCTTTTTGATACAGTTGACTACTATCCTTAAATTCTCATCTTCTTGACCTCAGTTTATTTCTATCTTGAATACCTTTGCTTTGGATCTTTTCCTCTTAACATCTAAGTGCTAATGATTTTGTTTCTCCCAGATTCTGCCTTGGCCCTCTTTTTAACCTGTTTTAAGCACAAAGTAAAATAAAAAAGTACTTTGATGACATCAACTATTACATATCTAGCTTACTTTGATGACATCAACTACTACATATCTAGTTTACCTAATCTGAGATATCCCTAGACACCCCAAAATCAAAACCTGAACTCCTTGCCTTATCAACTAGAAAACCTCTTCCATCTGAACTATTTTCTGTCTTGCTAATGGCCTCAGAAGTTACTGACAATGCAAAACAAACAACAAACAAACAAAAAACACAGAAACAAAATAAACACTTTAGCTAACTTGACTTTTCTTCCACTTGACTGCATACTCTAATACCTAGCCAATCAATTACTTTATTTTTTTATTTTATTTTTTTTTTGACTGTATTGCTTCACCAACAGATTTTATTAGTAATAAGATTTAGTGGTCAGATGTCAGCAGGCTCCTAACATGGAGTGAGAGTGAGCAGAACATCTTCCCTCACAGTTGCTTCACTACAGAAATTGTACCTGCGGAGAGAAAACAATGAAAAGTCAACTCCATGTGGCCCACAGTTGGTATGTTGAGCATGAGGGTACACTATTCTATTTTATTTTATTTTATTTTATTTTATTTTATTTTATTATTATTATTATTATTATTTTTAACTTTACAGTATAAACTTGGATAATCTGTGACAACAAAAACATAAATGGAGAGGGGGTTAAGGTTGGAACTGGCAAAGGAGATTGGAGATCAGATGCACTAAAAAAACCAAAACAAACAAACAAACAAACAAACAACACCCTGAAACTCTTGGACAGATGAATTACTTTAATACCATCAAGAAAATATCATCATGATTTTATTGTCTTCCTTTCTTTATTATTGTCCTTGCAAGTCTATATTCTACATTGCCTACAGTAATCTCTTTAAATTACAAATCTTGTCTTGGTCATTTTTTACTCATATCTTTAAATAGTTGTCCATTCATTACCTGATAAATCCCCTTCTATTTAGCATGTTAAATAAGTATTTCATAATTTTTCCAGCAAACCACATGTGACAAACATTGTTTATTGCTTCCCCCAACCTCTACCATCTTCTTGTTTATAAAACTCAGTTTTTATAAGATGTGTGGAAGAGACTCATTTATCTCACTTCTTTGAGGTTGGTCACATGTTCCCCTTTTGTAGTCTAATAAATATATTTGGAAGAACCTTATGGGGACTTCTGGAAGAGTTTTTCCTCTATGACTGGAGTCACATCTTCTTTATTTTAGCTTTTGAATGTAATGGCATGAGGACTTGTTGTTTGAAGTTCCTGTAACCATATTGTAGCCAAGGATAGGGGTAAAGGCCAAGGAATTTAACAGAAATACCAATTCAAATCCATAAGTAACGAAACAACACCAGCTATATGTCAACTCTAACACAGCTTTTATGGGAGAAAAAAAAAATACCTCCTGTGTTTTAAACTTCCCTTCAATGCCTCCCTGAATGACACACTGTCTACATAGGGATTCTCTTCTACCACTCCATCCCTCACATCCCATGATCCAATCTCACCAAAGTTTCTCTGTATCTAAGGCACAGTGCTACTCATTTTCTGTTTTGAAATCCCATATTTTTGTTTCTTCACCTGGAATGCTTTCTCTGCCATATGGCCTCTTACCCATCCAGGAACATACACTCAAACAAGGTGTCCTCCATAAAGCCTTCACCCAGGGATAGCCAAGATTTTGTCCTTGACTCCATAACCCTTACTACATATCTTGATTTTTACCCTAATCCCTTCTTCTTCTTCTTCTTCTTCTTAATTTTTAAGTATTTATCTACCATTTAAAAATTGGGCATATTGTCAATAGGAACTGTACCTTATTATTTTCTCTGTATATTTGGAAGGGTGATCAGTAGCTGTTTATGTAATAAAACTAAGACAAAAGAATGGTGAATAAAACTTACCCTGTGTATGTATGCATTTTTCTACCAAACTATTTATTTGGTCTTAAAAAGTATGCACTGATGTTGTCTATCGAGGTAAATGGTGAGTATGTTTTTGGTCACTTTATAATTTTCTGTAACTATTTTCTAATTTTATTTGTAGTGCTATTACAAAATTTTAAAGCACTTGTTTTATGTGTCTAAATTTTGCACACATTGTCATTTATTTTGTGTTTAGTTTTCAGGTGCACAAAGCATTGGTGCTATATGCCAGGCACACTTCCAGGTTCTTGCTGAACAAGTTAACAAAATGTGTTTTTGTTTTTATATGCTCATAAAAATGTATCTGATACACACATAGCTGTAGAACTAAATGCATATATAATGTGGTCATGCCATCAATGTTTTTATAATCATTTTTTCTTTATGGTATGTTCTATGAAAGACATTTACCCTCAAGATATACAACTGTAAAATGTCTTTCTAACATAAACACAGGCAAATGATTCTCAAACTGAAGACTTTACTAAATAAAACATACCGATAATTTAGAGGTAATTAAGAGATTAAAAATGAAGCACCTGTTATAAGAACTATGACATTTACTCAGAAAAGATTCACCTGCACTTACATCTGCTCCAGAGTAAAACAACACAGCTGGGAAGATGCCTGAAGGATTCCCCTTCTCTTATCACTGTCAGAAATTACTGTGGTTTTATAAGGTAAGTAATTCCTGGAAGGTATAACGTATTTCTTTAGCATATTGTGAGGACAATGTGTGTTGCATCAGACTCAGTGGGTTTTCAATGAGTCATTCTTCTCTTCCCATATTCTTGTAATACACAGCATACATTGACCATTGTCTTCTGAAATTTTGTTATCAGAATGATTTTATTTGTTTTTTGATAAAGATTGAAAAAAAAAGTGGAGAATAAGCTAGTCATAGGAAATGTTTAATGAATGATATTGATTGAAAAACTGGTGTCATTGATGGAAAAAGGAGAGCCTTCAACAGAGTAAAAAGGAGAGGGAGAAGAATTTTCAGGACAACCCCTGATTCTTTTATTTTTAATAAAAGTGCTTTTTTTCCCCTGCCTGTCATGCCATTAATCAAACTTGTTTTCTACTTGCCTAGAGCTGTGGAAGAAGCATTGATGTGGAAAACGGAAAACCTAGAACCAATCCAGGCCAGTTCTTTTCACCTCCAAGAGTTCTGATTTTTCTCCAGAGAATAGTTGAACTAGATTATGCAGATAACTTCATTTAGTAAGAAAATACACAGTTAATTTCAACCAACGTTTATTTTCTGTCTGATTCATGTCTGGAAAGTTTGCAGAAAAACTTATTTTTATTCTGTATATATTTTTCTTAAAATTGCGATCAGAGGTTTTACATTTTGATTTCGATATACTCTTTTTCCAAGAGAGTTGGTGCTGAGTTAGAGATCTGCATTCCTATTTTTTAAAATATGTTTTTTCTCCTTGTTTTCAGAGAGAGGGATAGAGAAATAGAATCATTAAGGATAGAAGAGAATCCGCTGCCTCCTGCATGCCACCCACCAGAGATCAAGCCTGCAACCTGTTCATGTGCCCTTACTGGGGATTGAACCATGACCTCCTGGTTCAGAGGTCAACACTCAACCACTTTGCCACACCAGCTAGGCTGCATTCCTATTCTTTTTCAAATCTTTCCCCCCCTTTTTTTCCCTTCTAGTTCCAAACCCTGCCAATTTCACTGCAAATTATTTTTAACTCTCAGCTAGCTAGAGTTTATATTATTCTGATTCTTACCATTTTATGGAATTAGTTATAGGCATTAAATACATTCAGGAAGGAGTTTTATTTAATCTGAAGATGGTTTGGAAACCACATTCTTTTATTGTTGTATTACTATGTGTTTTTTACCAATGGAGTTTATGACTCTCAACACATTTTATGTGAAATGATTTATACAATTTTAACTATAATTAATAACAAATTTCTAATCTTGTATCAGTCACACAGTAAGTACTTAAAAATAACTATTTTATTAATTTAAAAAATGTTTTAATCAATTTAAAAGTAAATGCATCTACCTTTTTTCCATTAGAACTAATAAAAATAAAATAAATAATAAAAAAAAATAAATTTAGCACTAGCTAGTTTGGCTCAGTGCATAGAGCATTGGCCTGCAAACTGAAAGGGTCCGAGGTTCAATTCTGGTCAAGGGCACATGCCTGGGCTGCAAGATCCATTCCCAGTAGGCGGTGTGCAGGAGCCAGCTGATCGATGATTCTCTCTCATCATTGATATTTCTACCTCTCTCTCCTTCTTCCTTTCTCTCTGAAATCAATAAAAAACATATTAAAAATTTTTAAATTAAAAAAATTCAAAATTACTTTTTGGTACAAGTGCTAGTTTTATGGGCATTTGATCATATTTTATAAGAAACGATACCCTTTGTCAGAGCCTTTGTGGTAGCCAAAATGGTTCCTTTATTTATGTTTATATCTGATATTTGGAGGCTAGTTACAAAGAAACAGCCATAGCATAGATTTTTATATGTATGAATTTTTAAAAAGAAGAGAACTCTCTCAAGCCAGAAACAAAGGAAGGCATCTGAAGGGGAATCATAGAAATCCCAAGCATGTGCAGAATCTGAGGTGCTACTGTTGGCTCTCGGATTAGGAGTCACATGTAAAAACCAGGGAAAGATCTGTAGGCGCTAAGAGCAGACCCACCTACAAGTCAGGAGCCAGAGATGTCAGTCTTACAACCTCAAGGACCTGTGGGAAGAGATTCCTCCCCAGAGCATTCAATAGGAGCCTAGCAGGCCAACACCTGGACTTTGGGCTTGTGAGATCCAGAGCAGAGAAACCAGCCAACCCGGACATCTGACCGAAAGATCTGCGGTATAATAAATGTCGGTTGCTTTATTTTTTTAATATATTTTATTGATTTTTTACAGAGAGGAAGGGAGAGGGATAGTTAGAAACATCGATGAGAGAGAATCATAGATCAGCTGCCTCTTGCATACCCCCTATTGAGGATATGCCCACAACCAAGGTACTGACCGGAATCAAACTCGAGACACTCTATCCACTGAGCCAAACCAGTTTCGGCTGTCGGTTGCTTTAAGTCCCTACCTTGTGGTAAGTGGTTAGGGCAACAATAGAAAACTAATAAAAAGAGGGACATAACTATCCCGGTTTAACCAGAAGGCACTATCTGCCCCAGTATCTGGGGGCCCCAAAGCAAATCAAACAGCAACCCCACCCACAACCAATAGCAAACAATTAAAAAAGGAGTGTTGGTAGAGCACACACTTAACAAAATTAAACCCTATGGGTAAATACTGTTCTGTCTGCAGAGTGAAGTCCACCTGACTAACACACATACACACACACACAATGGGATCATTACAGAGTAATGCAAGTCCTCCTTTTTGAATGTTAGGGCTATTCTAAAGAAAGGTGCAGCTTAAACTGCAGAGAGATTTGAAAACAGCTTCTCACTGCCTAAATCAATCTTCACAGTATCCCCTACATTTTTGTAAATGATGTATTGGGCTTCGCGGCAGGGCCAGATGTTGATGCGGACTTTTATTTGTTGGACAGGAGGTTATAGAGAACTCCCAATATAAACGTGTCCACTCTGGATTTCATTAAGGAACAAATGAGCTACGGCCAGTCCTGGGGTTTAAAACAGGGACCCAGGCTCAAAAGCACAGCTGTTTCCTTCTATTTCCAGGTCAGGGAAAAAAAAAAAAAAAAAAAAAAAAAAAAGCAGTGCTGCTGGAAATTGACCAGGTCCCCTGCCGACCCCCTACTGGTCATCGGGGCTGCCCTTTGAGTTCAGCTGGTCCCCAGCTGTCTGTGCATCCTGCCTCCCTCACCTGCTTCCCTCACAGGCTCACCTCGAACAGGAGGGATTAGGACCAAGAGAGAGACAGTGGAGCCCTCTGTCCATTTCAATCACAGTTCATGTATCTTCGTTTCCTTCTGGTCAGGACCCAAAACCTCTGGTTGTGGACCGGATTACATTTGTGAAACCGTTTTACCTGATTTGGCAACTTGTTTCCCTGTCTTCCATAGTGGATTGAGTCAAACTTTCATTCACAGGGTTGTCCGGGCCATTTTTTTGTTCACTTGTTTATGGCTATGAATCACTGTGGGGAAAGGACTCATTCTTATTCCTACCTCAGGGATCATCTAACTGTCTCGCTCTGGGAAACACACAAAGTGTACTATACAAAGAAGCACTTTAGTTTTACTCATTCTAAATTTATTGCCTTTTTAAATTTCATAGCCTCTTTTGCTCAATGTATTATGCATAGGTTTACTTTTTGGCAGTCTGACTGTCTACCAGGACAGGCGTCCAAAATCCAGTCCTGGTGGTAATCGATAAACAAGAATACCTTTTGCCAGAGCCATTAGTCTCTGCATTTTATTCTTCCTCAGCAACCTACTAAAAAAAAAAAAAAAAAAAAAAAAAAAAAGTGCAAACCTTTAACTAATGCAAGACCTGTGGGTGTTGTTGATCTATTTACCTCTCTGTTAAAAACTTTTATTTTTAATCAAACCTTTCAAAAATGTTTTCTTTTCTACAGAGATCAATACCTCCCTACAGGAAGCAGGTATACTCTTTCTGATCGTTTCATTCAGGGTTTCTAAGTAGTCCTTTAAGTACTGATGCTACAGCCCAACAGCTGAACAGAATGTATTAGTTGAGTGTAATTGATTGTACCATATCATGACTTTATTATATTTCTTGAAATCTTCTAAGAGTTTTACTAGGATTTTGTTTTCCTACATCTTTACTTTATCCACTCTTACCTCTTATCTTGAAATCTAACTCAGGGCTTCTCACATCTTAGCTTGCCTGTGAATTCCTTGGGGATAATGTCAAGATTCTGATTCTGATTCAGTACGTCTAGGGGAAGGCCTAAATGTCTGCGTTCCTAACGCCTTCTGAGGAGAGGCCCATACTCCTGTTCAGGGCTAGGTGTTGGGAAGTGAGACTCCAATATGTGTCATAGGAGCACCGAGTGTAGATTCAAGCCCATTGGATTTCATCACTCACCAGCGGTGAGACCTTGGGTAAGTTAGATACCTTATGTCTGTCCTACTTTATTCGTATGTATTATTACCTATCTAAAAAACATGTAATTAGGAGAACATGAAATAAAGTATATCAAGCACCTCATCGTATGCCTATCCCATAGAAAACACTCAATAATGGAATATTTTTAAAAATATATATTTTATTGATTTTTTTTTTACAGAGAAGAAGAGAGAGGAACAGAGAGTTAGAAACATTGATGAGAGAGAATCATCGATCAGCTGCTTCTTACACAGCCCCTACTGGGGATGTGCCCGCAACCAAGGTACATGCCCTTGACCAGAATCGAACCCAGGACCTTTCAGTCCGTAGGCCAACACTCTATCCACTGAGCCAAACTGGTTTTGGCTGGACTGTTTTAATTATTTCTATTTTCTTTTTGTTTCTCACCCACTCACAGTTTTTTATTCCTTTACTCAAAAGAACAGCAAGAAGGAAACAGTGTCGAGTGTCTGTGTGGAGAGAAACCTAGGCAGCAGCTGTAACCAGAGAATTCTGGAGCAGTCAGAGTCTAGGCAGTAGGACTCTTGTCCTCTGAAGGAGGTAAGCAGAGCTGGTGAGGTCATTAGAAAAAAAAATGGCATGAACAAATGTGTCCAATTCTGATAATGGTGAGGAGCAGAGTCTGTGTCCAAAGCGACATCTCTTCTAGATTAATGTTTAAAGACAGGTGAGTTCCAGGATGGATGTTCCCTTTGAGGCCACCTCGAGACAGATGAAACTGGTCCAGTGGGTGCTTCTTTCAAGGTGGACTTTGTGGAAGGACCGCCACTGACCCACAGATGCATCATGTAACATCCTACATTTGTCTGGCTCTCTGTTATTTATTAAGTGCTTGCATACATTGTGTCTTGCTCCTCCCCTTTGAGAGAAGAGGCATTGTTTCTATTTTCATGGCTGAAGACAATGAGATTCAAGGCAGTCCCTACAGTGCCCAGTGAGAAACAAAGCTGGCCACTCTCAGGCCTTCTGCCTTTAAGCCAGGGTACTCCATGCCCCCTCCCATTATGAAAACTGGAAATGTTTCAGAAATAGAAGTCAGTGTTTAAAGTTTACAGCGGATTAGTTTGCAGTGAAAAATTCTTCTCTATGGCTTTGTCTATTTAAAACATGTTATTTATGTTTCCCAACTTTTTTCTATTTCCTTTTTTAAAAAGTAGGACAAAATATAAGAAGAAAAGTGAGATACATGTTAATAAAAAATTTGGACAAAATGGTTATGAAATGATAATGGAAAGCCCTGGATTGTCAAAGCACTCACAGAGCTTTTTTTTTTTTTTTTTTTTTTTTTTTTTTTTTATACAAGTGAAAAAAAGAGAAATGGACAGCAAGGAAAAAAAAAAAAACAGAGAGCAAAGACACAGTCTGATGCATCATAATGCACATCTCTCTATCTCTTGCTTTTTCTTCTTGTACTTGTCAAATTTGTTTCTCATTATTGCCTCATAAAGAAAGACAATTTTAGAGTTGGATAGTGGTTAGAGATCACCTCTGTACAGTGACTCCTTTTCCACAGGAGTAGGGTGGTCTGACAAAGGCATCCATGAGAACCCTATCTGCCCATTCCAGTCCATCTCTCTCCATTATAGAAAGCTCTTCCCCTCCTCTCATCTTTGCTATTATTGTCAAGGGCAGGCTGAACCCCAAACCCAGCACAAAACAGTGATGTATCTATTTAATGCCTTCAATAGTGGAATGTGTTAGCTATTGGTTTCGCTTCTTGTCTGTTGCACAACAGGTTATCCACCTGTTTCTCTAGAACACATGTGTCAAACACAAGACCCGCGGGCCAAATCCGTCCCGCCAGGCCTTGCAATGTGGCCCGCACCGCGCTGTCATCACTGCACTCCGCTGCGTTTCCATCACAATGACAGTTTATGACTGTTCAGTAAACCATTCGGCCCGCGATTTAGGCTGGATTTTAGATTTTGGCCCCTTCTCTGATTGAGTTCGACACCCCTACTCTAGAATATTAACTTGGACTGCAGGAAGGGACATGCTGCTGTGCTTGGGCCAATTACAACATTGCACTGTGCTCTTATTAGGTTTCAGATGAATTATGTGCCCCCAATTAGCCAATTAGATTCTTTCACTGAGGTTGATATAAGCAAAATGGGAGACAGAGAGCTGCAAGAATGAAGAACCTGGATATGAAGAGAGAGTGGGAATTGGAGGCATGACGGAGGAGCTGTTTGTGTCCATGGGTCCAGGACTAACTGAGACCACCTCCACCTTTTGGGTAGAAGGGATGCTCATCCACTTTAGTTGAGTTTCATTCCACTTACTTGCATCTAAGATTCCTAGCTGCTATTCAATTGCCCAGTGGCATTTGAGTCAGCAAGCGAAATTCCTGATTTTCAAATCTTTGTAAAAAATTCCAAGGGCTTCTAATAGTCCAAGTGCAATCAAAGTCTTCTCACTTAATATACTCACACTTGGCTACATCATCTTCTATGGCACATATAACTATCCTGTTTTATTCTATTATATGGTTCCTAGCTAGACCAGAACCATCTGAGTATCATGCTCCAAGTTATTCTTAGAAGTACATTTTGAATAAGCTAAAGTAAAGCCTGGCAAATGGCAAATTTGGATGGACAAGAATGAGTGAGAAAGGCTGAGAAATATAGGGTGTAGTCAGAGGATCATCTTTTCTCGGAGAGACCCAGGGAGAGATGCCCTGTGTAAAATAAAAACAATGACACCTGTGAGTGATGGAATAGTAGATGTTGAGGAAGATGGGGAGTTAACAAAAACAAGGAGGTTAGTAAATAAAGGGACCCTCAAAAATTAACTTTGCTTTCATCGATATTTGTATGAAAACCATCCTTTTTACATTTTAGGCCAGTAGAGACCCTTAATTTTTTTTTTTTTTTTTTTTTTTTTGAGACCCTTAATTTTTATATTTATTTTGGACCTCACATTATCTGAGAATCATTTCACTTAAGCCGTGCAGAGCAGAGAAATTATATATTAAGACCATTTATGCTGGATGTTGAGAACTGTATATTCATATTTCTCAGGAAATATGTATATGAAAGACAATACTGTATATACCAGTACTTTCATATCAATAGATTTGTCTGTAGTTGGCAAGTTACCTTTACAAAACCGGGTCCCAAACACTATGAGCCATATTCTTCCTGTACAGTCTTTTCTTATATGCAATGTCTTAAGCTCATGTAACATAAAATACTGTAATTTAGTATGAAACAAATGCAATTTTATTGTGCAAAATGTCTTTTATCTATTTGACTGTGGTGACTCTAAATGGCTCCATCTAAAGTTTACGTCTCTGATGTTTGGAGGGGGAGGATGCACTTTTGTTAATGCTATAATTTACTACTACTCTGAGGTAAATCATCTTTTGGTTTTAATCCTGCAAAATAGGCATTATATGTGATTCAAAACATTCTAAATTCTTCAATTTAGCTTAAAATATCAGTTTAGCTTTCATTAAAAATATCTTTTTGTTGGGTCATTTTGTGTCTTTATGAGGTTAATTAAAATTGTGTAATGGATTTATTCATGTGAAATTTCTGTTTTTCATTAAGATCAAACTTTCAGGTTAAAAGGACATATGGTCATTTAGAGCTAATTTAGTGACTTAAAGGAAGGTTTATATTTCCCTAATCCAAGTGAAAAAAAAAACAGGGTATTCACTTACCATACACACACACACACACACACACACACACACACATTCATACACAGGCATATACTTGTACACCATATCCAAGGGAATGGAATTATCTAATATTTTTTACATTCTCATTAGTCATGTGTTCCTTTTCCATTTATCATGTTTATTTGTTCTCTTTCCCCCTTTAAACACATATTTTGGCTAAAATGGACAGTAGCTAAGGAATGTATACAAATAGAGGAAATTAAATGGGTGTATTGTTTCTAAGGGCTATTTAAACTAGATGAAAGAGTTGTGGGGAGCTCAAAGTCCTTGTTCATTTGGCAATATTTCCCAAATGGAGAAGTAACTGATAGTTGAGTGGAAGTGCTAGCTGTATTATGATGCTATCCCCTCTTTCATGTGCAGGAATTTTTTAAAATCACTTTGACTCGCCCTTTCTTTCATATGCCAAGGATAAATGTTTTCCAAGATATGCCTGACTTTCTTGAAGCAGACTTGTGAGAAGAAAGAGGGAGGTCTAGAGGCCCTTTGTGTGGAAGGGAGAAGAAGTGAGGGAAAGGTCCTTGGGAGAGGGCAGGGTTGAAGATGAGTCCCTGGAGAGTTAGGGGTCAGTGAGTAAAACTCTCGTGCAGCTTAAAGATGCCTAAGAACTGAGTTGAGAGGAAAATCGTTTTGAAGAATGGCCTGTGAATTGGATCTCTTTTAATGTTCTTCAAGGAACTCAAGAATTGATTTAATTTTTGAAATACATTCGGTTGACAAATTCTTTCTTTGAAATTGATTCTGTGTGAAAAAGGCCTTGGTTCGAATTTGGATATTTTACCTTTATGTGCTTTTGTTCTGTTTTATTCTTATGGTGTTGATTCTTTCTTCTAATGGCAAACAAATGCAGACAACTTTACAGCTTTAAACATATTATAACGTTGATTAAACTTATTTGCACTCTCTCTCTTATTACCCCAATTTTAATTTTTTAAAAAAAGGGCTCTTTCTTCTTTTTGCTGTGATTCTCCCCAGTGACTCATTTCCCTCAGACTAAGAAGCAGCATGGATTTCCTTTACCCATAATGTGAAAGGACAGTTCTTGGCATGCAAAGTGCTTTCTGGGAAAAAAAAAAAAAGGGTGTTTACAAAGCCCCATTGAGTGTCTCTTCCCCCTGCCACACCCCATCAGGCCTGCTCTGCAGTCCTCCTCTCCAAGCACTGCTTCTGGAACCTCACCACCCTCTGACAACATATGCCTGTTCCCAAGACTCTCCTGAATCTGCTATTGAGAGTTCCTGAAACTTTCCTTAGTTCTCACTGTCTTAGTTCACATTTGATACTCCTTATAGATAGTACTTCCTGAAACTTCTTTTCTCCTTCACTAGGTTTCATTCCTTATCCCTTTCCCAAAATGTGGTAGTTATTTTCTAAGATTTTTCTTTACCTCTGCTGTTCTACTACCTCCCCCTCCCAGGCACACACACTGGCCGCTTCTCCCCCACTGGTCCATACATTTATAGCTCTGGTTGTGGAGTAATTAATATCTCAAGTCACCCATTCACATATTCATTCTTCTAGATGCCTCAATGAAAATGTTCTGTGTCAAGTATTGGGATAGATACTGGGGCTACAGAGAGGAAGGATATATTGCCCTTGTAAACAAATAATTAGATTGGCATAATGAGAGTCTAATTAGGAATTCCCCTCAGTGTTCACTATCAGCTTTGCTTCTTTTTATATTAGTTTACCTATTTCCCTGCAGTTTAAGAGATAATGCTTTTTATTTCTCAATAAGTCTTTTTCAATTTTAATGTCATGACTGATTTGAAGGTGACATGACATTAATTGGGATCAATTATAGCAATGGCTATTTAGATCTTGTTCCTAGATTTAATTTATGTTCTTATGTTTTTATATCAACCACAAGAATTCACCTATTTTAGGATTATTTAAGTAATATGAATCATAAGCTTAGACTCCTGGAAAAAATTAACTCTAAAATGAGCTCACAGATATATAAACAATGGCTCAGAATTATGACTGCATATGCCTAGTTGTTTATTAACTTTATCAATGTTTCCTTCCATTATTTCCATCCACTACACTGTGCATTGCTCTATCAAAATTCTTACTCCCAGTCTCAAATGAATAATTTTATAATTATAAAATTTGTAAATGATTAATCACATTCTGTTGGTATAAAATTCTTCATTAAGTGGAAGAATTGAATAGCTCAGTATGATTGCATTGCTCATCCACATTATCCAAATTTGCAATTGGGAGGCCAGTTTTGAAAATATTCCTGATTTACCACAATGCACTATTTAAAACAAAACATTTTTTTCACTCTTCCTCAAGTATGGTCATTCAGGAAATTAGAGCTAATATGATCTAAAATGTTAAAGATATATATCTGGTTAGGTCAATAAAGATTTATTCTTAATATATTATGATTATCTTAATCATTTCACTCATGCACAAGAAGAAAGGTAATTATTTACCTCCTAAAGTTATCTGGGTTTTTAAGAATGTGCAATTGAAACCATCTGAGGCAGATTAAAATTTAACAGAATATTGTAAGTTTTATTCCTACATTATTTCATAATAATGTATATATACATATTTTTGGAATTATAAATTATTATGTGGGTCAAGAAAAATATTTAAGCATCATAAAAAAATCTCAACATGCTAAATTTAATTTAGCAACAATTTTACAACAAAAACTAAACACTTATTATTATTATTATTATTTTTAACTCTGTGGAGGTTGTTCTACCTTCTTTAAGGCAAAATATATTTCCTTATCCAATCCAAAAATGTAAAAATTTTCTAAAAATGATAAAGTAGCATTCCTATACATTGTGAAACATGGAAAGTAGCATAATACTCTCCAGGTCAATCAATGCTGTTAAAAAAGGTAAGATTTCTTTCCTTTTTTTAAAAGCTAAGTAGTATTCCATTGTGTAAATGTATCATAGCACTTTTATCCACTCACCTACTGATGAGTACTGACTTCTGTTCAACTAGTTATTTTGTTGGTTATTCAGATTTATTGTCCTATATTTGAGTTATAATTCCAGTTTGGTCTTGGGAGGAGGTGAATGTATTATAACATCTACCTACTCCACTTCCATCTTGTATCCTGTTTCTTTCGTTTTAAATGGTGGCTTTTTCCCAAACCTCAATAATATTGGCTTTTATTTTTTAAATGATGGTTTTACATAAATGTTCATTTGAAAAAATCATTATGCTTCCTATAAAATATTTAAAAACCATGTCAGGCTGATATTTAAGAAGTTAAAAAAAACACACACACATAGAATTTTATGATTTAAAAACTTTAGAGACCACAGAAATCCAATAATTGCAGTACCCTTAAAATAAGTCATGAAACTGAGACAAGATGTGTCACTGAAATTGAATTAATAAGTTACACTAACTGAGCTTACACTGGTAGTTGTCAGTCATTCCCTCTACCATTTGCTTCTCAAAGTCATTTCTCAATAATATTCTGTATAATTTATTATAACATTTTTTATTATTTACTTATTTTATTTTTGAGACTATGGATATGAGAAAACACCCACTGTTTTCCCCTTTCTCCAATATACTATCAATCCTCTTACTAGTGTTTGTCCATTCAACAATCACAAAATCAACATTTTCTATCTCCTAGGCATTTTGGTAGGTCTGAGGAAGTACAGGGTCATAACTATATGTATCACCTTTGGAATCATTTATGTATGTACTGGAAAATCTTTCAAGGTATGCTAGCAAAGTCCTTTTATGTCCCCTGCTGGTCTGCATTTGGTGCTTATTTATCTTTGAAGAATGCATGGAATAAGAAGTATTGCTTGATGTGGGAAAACAGGGCTGGTGGAAATGGGAAAAGAAATGGATTTTCTCTTTTAATACTTACAAGCTTCAAGATGCCCAGAACAATCTTATTCAACCTTATTTCATCCTCTCTTTAAAGATGGAAGGCCTGTGTCTGGAAAAGGTGATGCTACTCCTGAGTTGATGAGCTAATGAGATGTATAAAACCTCAGTTCATAATGCATATATATATATATATATATATATATATATCCTTAAATTATGAGATTTTTGAATAAGTCATCTGGTTTCTGGGTAAAAATTGTTTCCTAAGATGCTCATTATTTCCAACTTTGCTTGCTTAGTTGAAAATGATGACAAAAAGGGTGGTAATGGGAGGAACTTTTTGGGTGTTTGTGAAGGGTCAAATTTGGCAATACTTCCTGAGGATAGAGTGTCTTTGCTGATAATGCAGCATGAATGCCTTTTAAATAGACGGTCACTAATGTGATTTTCAATAGAATTTTGAAGAAAACATAAAATGCAAAGGGTGTTTCTTTGTATACATAGTCCTAGAAAATAAATGAGTAAATGATAAAAAAGTAATTGTATTATGATTAATGGAACAGAACATTACCAAGGAATGGCCTTGAGCAAACAAATGGTAGAATGAAGTAAAAACTGAACTAGTTGTCAACTCAGCTGTTCCAAGTCTCCTTTCAGTCTTTGTGTCCAGCTGAGCATCAACTGTGTGATGAGTTTTTCTCTAAGAAACATATCCAGCGCCTGCCTGCAGAATCTTAAGCTCAGTGCAGGAGCGCCACACTTAACTTCCTAAGGGGAAATTGAAGAAAGTTCATTACCCTAAAGCAAACTGATGAAGGCTACTCATAGGAAAATTCATTTGACATAGATTTGGAAGATTGAGAAAGATGAGTGTTGAAAACTTCTTTTTAAACAACAACTTGTGTTTTATTTGATGACTTAATTAACTGTTTTTAGATTGTGAAGTAGTGGTGGTGGTGACACCAGGTTGATCCAGTTTGAGGACAAATAAAATATGGAAACAGAACCATAGTCTACTCTCTGAAGAAGTCACATATCTTTGTATGCACTCGCTTTATTCATGGGTCTCCATAGCATTGTGCAGTTATAGGTAGGGTTATTTGTTGATGCTTCTCTCTCATTAGATTGGGGGAATGTACACTACCTGTATTTTAGTACATGTCCAGGACTTTAGTAGAAGATCCAGCACATAGTAGGTGCCCTTAATGATGAGATAAAAAAAACCCCTCATATTTCTGGGCAGACCATGCTAGGTACATTTAAAAAAAAAATCAGCAACTCCTAATAAATTGCAACTTCTTGATAAGAAGCCACTCTCTCCCTCCTTTTCATCTTTTGCTTACTTTCAGGTTCCCTGTATTCTACATCATACAAAAATAATTCATTTGATATACTTAATTTTATTTGACTATGAACTTTACTATAATGCTACCCCTGAGGCACTATACATCATATTACTTACTGTTGGGTAATCTCAGACTAAATTTTGTGAGAGGAATTTTAAGCAGATGTCAATGGGATATGAAGGTATGGGGATGAGGGATTTAAAGCTGTTTTATTGTAGAAGATTGTTTGAGCATGGAAAATGACCACATAGGCGAGGCTGATGTCCCTAACAGCTCTGGTTTCTCAGGGATTCCTGCATTGCCCCCATTATTGCTCTCCCTCGCCGGTTCCACAATACTCACCTCTCCTTTGGCCTCCCAGTGTGGCCTTCCCAATGATTCCATCCCAGACTCCTCTCTGTATTTGCTATAAACTCTGACTAATCCTGTCTTTATTTTTATCAAACAATCCTTATTGCCTTCTCATCTTTGATTAAAAAATATTTTTTTCCCACAGCACATCATTGAAATTTTTATTTTAACACTTGGCAAGATAATGTACTTTTTAATATTTAAAAACTAGGCCTCCCAGGCCTTAATAACAACCTACCTGCTTGAGAGACCGAAATTGCATTTTTACAGTCTAAGCTTACCCTAAATCTATAATAATAAAAGTGCAATATGCTAATGAGACCAGGCATCCTTCCGCATGACCTTCCAGATGAAGCCAAGGCTGCAAGGGAAGCCCA